GCTTCATCACAAAACTTGTAGGAGCCATATCATCATTCAATTCCAATTCTGACTACTCCAGATTCTCTACTTGCCTAATTTCCTGGCTTTCCTATAATTGTTATTAAAAAGCTTCATGATGGAATGTTAGAGGAAAGCTACTGTAACAGAGATGTCTATAGTATAAGATCCCAATTTTAAAAGTCCGCATTTTAAAATATCAGAAGGAAACACATAAAATAACAAAGGGAATCTTGAATGAGGAATTCATTTTCTTCTTTAATTGCTTAAGTCCAGGTTTTTAATAATGAATGTATATTACTGTCTACAGAAACAAAACCACACTATTTAAAATAAGCCAAATAAATCTCCATCCCATTACTTAGATCACACAAATTAAAGTAAATGCACTAATCATATTAGTATTACCTTGGATATTCACGTCAAAATCCAACTCATCTTCACCTGCAATGTTAGATGCTACACATGTATATCGCCCGGTATCTGATATTTGAGCCTCCTTTATTTGAAGAGTGTGTCCATTTGCAGCAATATTTACATGATCATCGGATTTAAGGGGCTGTGATTCAATTATGATAATGTTAATATTAAGCACCACAATGAATCCTTTAAGAGGTCATGCAAGTGATAGTTTTTATGAATATTTAACAATAAAAATAAGTTTTTATGCAAAACATTCAGGATCACAGTAATTAATTTAATTTGATTAAACTGATTATTTTTGAGTAATCAAATATTTATTTTTTGAAAATTATATCTGATACAGTTTACATTTGTACCAGATATTTGTGGGTGATGCATTTTTTTAATAATTAAAAAATATGTTCTTAGGTACCATATCCATTTGTCCACGTTTGCAGGTGATCTTACATAGTATTAAAAACACATGTCTTTCTTTTATAATTTTGTAGAAAGTGCTAGAATTTCTTTATGAAAGGTAGCGGTAATTAGCATAACCCAATTTGATCTATAATTATTGTTGTTCATTCAGAAAAGTCATTACTTCATCAATGAAAATTTTCAACCTAGAGCTATTTATATTATGATGTTTTATTAAAATTAAGAATACACTTAATAGAACATTAACTTATAGATATTTGTATTGTTGTTTTGATAACATTTCACATATAGAATATTTCTCATCTTTTAACATTGCCATTTATACTAAATTCTCCCTCATTCCTTGAAGGTTTTAACTCCTGACTCACTGTCGTTCCTTTTTCTAATGATACTTGTTTTCTCACAATTAATTCTTGGTGATTTAAACACCCATGTAGAATGTGATGTGTGTTCTTTCAGTTCTTTGACCTCCTCTCCTTTAATTTTCTTGTCTTCTACTTTTTCTCAGCCACTAAGTAGGAGAGTCATATCTAGACCTTACCAATACCAGTAACTGCACTCCTTCATAACCAGTTTCAAGTTCTCACTCTCCACCACCTCCAAACTTTCTACCCTATTTCTTCTAGCATCCAAATTACATTAACTTTTTGACTCCATCAGAGAATCCACAAGCCCCTGACCTTGCAATCTTTTTACTGCCTCTCTTTCTCTGGCTGAATTCAACCCCCACCCTGCCCAGAGAAGGTCTGTCATGATAATCACTCCTCGTATAATTCTCAGCTCCCTTGCCTCCTTTCCCTTTATTTTCCTCCCCTTAGAAAAGCATTAACCCTGTTTAAAACCAGTCTGTAATGCCCATTCTGAGAGCCCTCTGGTCTGTTGAAGGACGATTCTCCAGCAACTGTGTCGTCTCTCACCTACATGATCAGCTATTTCTTTCTTTCTCCACTGGCCAATTTTAATCTTACAGAAACAAACAAAAATCTCTCTTGCGGCAGCCTATCTCCACATTTTTAAATACCCTTTGTAGCAGAATGATTTAAACGTGTTTTCTACATTTG